TAAAAACATGGTACAGGCTCACAGCGGACTTGTATTCAGCTGTAAAGAGAAAGGAAATTAGAACATTTGAAGATAAATAGCTAGAAGTGGAAAATTTTATACTGATTAAGAGAACCCAAGTCCAGAAAGACAAAAGATCCCTCATACGTGGATCTGAGCTTTGAATCTCCAGTTTTGTGTGTTTAACTTGAGCACCTTTTGGGAAACTGGACAAAGACCACTGAGGTAGGGGAAGCCTTAAGGGATAGTAGAATGTAGGTGGGGGACGCTTTAGAGGACAGCGGAGCATGGATGAAAGTAGAGACGGGGAGTCCCAGGATGGAAAGGTCTAATCCGGGAGTGGGTGGGCAGGTCAGATGAGAGGGTGCAGAGTGCAGACCTCACTTACTGAATGCCCTTCTAGGAGATAACTCTGCGTCGTTGTCTCCGGGAAATCCAAATGTGTGTCGACACAGGAAGCTCTACAGGATCATTCGTAGCAGCTTTTTGTAATAGGAATAGTAGTAAGGCTTTAAATTATGGAAAGGTACTAAGGTAGAGGAAGGTTGATAGATGTGGTGCAGTTATGCCGTGAATGGCTACTTGGCAATTAGAAGGAAGAAAAGATGGGTAGGCTTCAAGGTCATTATATATTTATATAACACTTGTTACTAAAGATTTATTATCATTTTATAATATATATGTATGCAGGTTTGTGTACATGAATGCAGAAGAGAGCATCAGGTCCCCTGAAGTTATAGGTAGTTGTGACCTGCCCAACATGGCTGCTATAGGTAGTTGTGACCTACCCAACATGGCTGCTAAGAAGCCAACTTAGGTTCCCTGCAGGAGCAGTGGCACTCTTAACCCTTGAGCCGGCTCACCAGCCCCGAGATAGCAGCCTCTAATTGTTTTTAAACAAGACGTTAATGAATGGAAAAGAAGACAGAGATCATGTAAGTGTGTAACAACAGGAGCCTGGTTAAGTGAGCTGAGCTGAGCTCAAACAAAGAGGGAGGCCGTGAGAATGCTCAAGTGAGCCCCAACAGAGAACATCACCACAGTGGACAGCAAGGCAGGGTGCGCCTGCAGCAGGGTCATGTGGGTGCCTGACAGACACAGAAGAGCGGCCGCAGTGGCCCTCGCTGGGTGACTTGTGATGACGTACTTGCATTATTTTGAGAACCAGAGAGAAGATGCTGTTTTTGTTTAGGGAAAACCTTAAGTCTCTCTGGTGGTCATCATCTGCATCTCAGAGATGGAGGATCGATCAATTCAAATCCAGTATAGGTTACACAGCACGGTGTTTCTCAATCTGTGGGTCTCGACCCCTCTGGAAGGGTCAAGCAACTCATTCAGAGGGTCACCTAAGACCATCGGGAAGCAGGGATATTTACATTACGATTCATCACAGTAGCAAAATTACAGTTAGGAAGTAGCAACGAAAATAATTCTATGGCTGGGGGTCACCACAGCATGAGGACCTGTGTTAAAGGCTCACAGCGTTAGGAAGGCTGAGAACCACTGACGTAGCAAGTTCCAGGTCAGCTGGTGCTGCATAGCAAGGCCCCATCTTAACCCAGAACACTCCTGAGTGTGGAGGAGGCACTGAAAAGACAGCAGACAGTCTCTGTGCATCTGCCCTGACAGCAGCCCCAGGCCCGGACCGGGAGCCACACTGCTGCCGTCCTCCCAGGGAGAGACCAGGGCATGCGTGGTTTGCTTTCTGGCAGGATCCCTATTAAAAAAAAGGGTAGAATGACTCTCACCAAAGTGCGTGTCAAGTGGAGAGGGAGGCGCCTGGTGTGTTACGTTGTGCTAAACGTGTGTGAGCCAAGGGGCTGCTGCGTCAGTGGCAACGGGCGTTAAATCTGGGTAGAGACCAAGATGCGCTCGCCCCCTGCAGACACACACACCCTTTCTCCCTCTCTGCTTCGTCAGCATTCAAGAAACACTGCTTGGTGGCTCTGTATTTGCAGCCACAAGCTCAGCAGCCCTTCGCGGTGGGGCTTCTCTCTGTCCGAAGAGCCTGCTGAAGACCGATGAGCAGGCTTTGTGCAGAGGGCACGGTGGCCTCTAAGACTTTCATGACCGTCCTGACCACAATCAACGCGTTCCCCTGCTTTCATATTCACTATGCTCTAGGCACTGTCACAGTTGTGTGTAACTGTGTGTAAAGGTGGTAAGGCTCCCCATTTTACAGATAGGGAAACTGAGGTCCAGCAGAGGCGAGCAGTCCAAGGCCACAGAGTGTTCTGGATGGAGCCGGCTTGAGTCCCAAATGTGTCACCTCCAAAGCTCTGTTCTTTCCTCCTGCAGGCTTGTGCTCCTCCATCTATCTTCCTTGGTTCTCTACATAGACAAATGGGAGAAAGCAATTCACCAAAACCCTATGGCTCCCCCTCAGGACAGACACCTGCTGGTGCCACCAAAATGGCCACTCTGGACCAGAGTTGGTCCCTAGACTCTGAATTGCTCTAGCTGGCCTGGGATCTCCTGCACACAGGCTCCCCCTTATGGAAACAAGGGACATTCCCAGTGACTTGGATGTAACTGAGGACTAGATGCCCCACCCAGGCCAGAAGGAAGGGCCCATGCGGATCTCACCCAGCCTAGTGCCTCAGACCAGCTCCCAGGCTACGGGGCAGGTCCGTGCTTCAGACTTGCAAAGTGCTCCTGGCCCCTCCATGCATGTCCCCTAGTGTCCCGCTGGAGGACACAGTCTTGATCTGCCCACTGTGGAGTGTCGAGGAACACAGTGACAGAAGCTGGCAGCTCTGTGGAGAACTGAGGGCATTAACAACGGCCTTCTCAGGGAGCCTTCTCTTGTTTAGGCATCAAAAGGAAAACAATCTTCATGTACACTCACACACACACACACACACACACACACACACACACACACACACTTGCATGCACCACACACCTACCACGATGCAGAATTCTCCATTTCCTAACATGACTAAGAACTGCTTTCTAATCATGGAGTGTGAGGTCAGTCCCACACACTTCGTGAGCCTCAGTACTCCTTTCTGCAAAACGGGTGCCGTGATGCCCCCTACGAGGCTTGGGTCACATTCATCCTCCCCTTTAGGTCCCCATGAAATGTGGCAATCCTAGTACTCACAGTATTACAGTTGGGCTGCATTATAGGCCTGGTGGTCTTTGATTATTCGTTAATTTAGCACCCAGATGCTGCCTACTGACTGTCCATCATAGACCAGGCCCAGCCACCAGCCAACCCAACAAAACCCAACGGTTAACTCTGTGTTGCTGACAACCAGCCAACAGATGCTGCGGATAGGAGGAACTTGGGAAAGTTTGCTGCAAACAGCAAGAAAGGGGAAGGGAGCAAAGAGAGGGTGCCGGCTAGCTGTACCCACAGACCCTTCCTCTGTAACCTCGACCTCCCTTCCACACTCCCGCTTATGGAGCCTTCACCTACCCTCCAGAAAAATGGGGGTGAAGAAGAGAAGTCTCGGTGAGGTGCTTCCCTTTGACAGTCCAAGTTCCTCTGGGTCAAATAACACTCCTGATCCGGCGAACCCCTTGTCTGTCCCCGAAGACCGTCTTCCTCTACGGTACCCCACAGGGTCGGTGTGCCTGTCCTCCCTGACCCCAGGCTACTGTCCTTGTTCATGTAAACTTCGGCCAGGGAAGACCAGGCTCCGGCATCCAAGGCTCAGTTTCTCTTTCTGTAGCACGGCCTGTAAAAGGGCCCCTGGGGCTCGACTGCGCAGTCAACTATGAGGACACTGAGGAGCTCATCAGGACAGCGCCTATCAGAGTCCTCCACAGATACATAGCCTCGTGTGGACATTGTTTTCTCAGGCAGTCCTGTGGAGAAGTGCCTGTGAGATGGCTGGGAGGAAGTTACAAAGGAGAAATCTTACTGTGGACTCACCTGGGAAGTCCCCAAAGCCGAGCACCACTGAGGTGGGTAGAGGACAAAGCTGAGTGTGTGCCTGGGGGGGGGGGGTTAAGAAGGGAGCCAAAGTGCAGTTCTGGTAGCCTGGAGTCTAGCTGTGTGTTTCTTACCTGGTCTAGCCCCTTGTGTGTGTGGGGGGGGGGGGGAGGCCAGCACAGGTTTGGGACAAACAGGACAGTGACGTAGGAGGGGGGCCACCTTCAAGGTCACAGCCAGCTTTGAATGCCAGCATGCTGGGGACTTTGGATTTCAGGTCAAAGCAAACCAAATGCCTGATGCTATGGCAGATCGAAGAGGAGAATTAATGCCAGGAGGAACCAAGCAGCAATGGGGGCCGAGGAAGGATGTGGACCAGCTGAGGTCAAGGCCACGGGATGCGGAGAAGGGAAAGTATTTGAGGGATGTTCCCAAGATGGCACCATCGGGGCTGTATGATGGATTGACTATGGGGTGTGAGGCCCAGGAAGATCTTCCCATCCAGCAGAAGGTCCAGATGGACACCCAGGGATAAGAGTGAAGTAGATGAGAGAGAGGATAATTAAGTGCTAAATTGTGCAGCTTAATTTATTGCTTGGACAGTTGCCTCGTGCTATAAACCCCATTGCTCTAATGAGCTCATGACATCAGTCGGCAGGGAAAGTATGCCTAGCCCATCACCCATTGCAACTGCAGCCATATGCCAGTACTGCTCAGATGCCTATCTGGGTGGACAGACTAGCTGTTAGGCTTCTGACTCAGTTTACAATTGGGGGTACTAACCACTGTCAAGATGCTTTCTTAAACTACTACCAAGGACCCGGGGCTCCCGTGCATGCTAGTCCAGAGAAATTCAGACTTTGATTCTGACAGAGATAGAGGAACACAGGCCCTCTTGTACTGTCCAGGGGAGGTCGAGTCACATCAGCCCCCTTCCTACAGATGTGAACTTGACAGAACCCTAACTCTCTCTGAAGCACAGTTGCCTTATTTGTGAAGTCACACAAGAATTGGGGGAGCATTCTGTGAACGTCTGTTACCATGGGAAAATCCCCCTGGCAGAAAAATATGCTGAAGTGAGAGATAGATCAGATCCACGATTGGCCTGTGAGTGCTACCCCTGCCAGCGGCTCTGGGGAGTGCAGAGGGCTGACCCTGTGTACCTATTCTGGAGGAGACAACCAGGCCAAGCTTGATTGTATCAGTATGCTTATCAGGTCTTGTAAACACATTTTAAGTGTAGAATGAGGAGAGCAGTTTATACTGGGAGAACCCAGAGCTGCCCTTTGGAGAATGTGGCACCAAAGTAGGCCTTGGTGAACACTGAGACTCTTCACCAAAGAAGCAGCCCTTGTGGGGCATCCTGATTTGAGCCATAAGTCAGTGCTTGGGAGGCCCCCCCCCAAAAAAGAAATAACCCCTTGCCTTGTTCTTCTTAATAAGGGCATTCTAAATACCTTTGTTGGAAATGCTTACAAAAATGTCTGGCTCGAAGTTGGGTTGGAAGCCACGGAAACACGGAACATGCTGTCACCTGGAACTCCAGTGTCCTCAGAGGCCCACGTTTCCCCAGGCTGCTGCCATTAGCAGAGGGTAGAACCTTTAAGGGGTAGGGCCTACTGAGAGGTTTCAAGTAGTGGAAGCCTGGCTTAAAGAGGACTGAGGGTCCCTGGTCTGCTCTTTCTCTTTTCCATTCCTGGCCATGAGGTGAACCAGCGTCCTCTGCCATGTCCCCCCGCCATGATGTACCGCCTTACTACATGCTCCCAAGCAACGGGACCCACAGAATGTGAGGTATAAGAAACTTCTCCTCTTTTCACGTGATTGCCTCAGGTATTTTCTTACAGTAACAGAAAGCTGACTAATACACTACACTTTCTCTGAGATCAAGATGATTGATTGCCTATAGCAAGGGAAGTCAATTCTGTCAGAGTGTATGGACGGGTCAAAGCTCCCACTGGTCCAACCCCTCAGGTCACCGTTCCTCTTGACACACGTTACAGTGTAATGAGAGGTCATTTGTTTGATTTTATGATTTAAATAGTCACCATTGCCACCCTGCAGTAAGGGAAGCCGGGCACAGGGTAGGCACCCACTCTATTTTTGGAAATAAAGAAATTGAGGTAGTTGCCAAAGAGTCATAGGCCAAAGCGATATTATTTTCCCCCACAAGATCACCAAAGGGGAAGATGTGACTTCTCAAACCTGGTGTTGATGCTAAGAAGAAATAGTGTTCAGGGCACTCCAAGGGGTGGTGGAATGTTACAGGCCTTCCCAGGGAACATCTGAGCTATTGGAGACTTCAAAAACACCAATGCTCTCTCTCTAGCAGAGCAGAAACACTCACCACCCAGCATAAAGTCTCAGGAGGGGGTAGAACCGGTGCAGAAAGGGAACGCACCACAGAGCACTCAAGCCAGCTCCAACGCTCAACAATTGGGGATCGTCAAACTATGACCATTCCTGGGATGCTGTGAAACTGTTTAAAATCGCCATTCAGATGTGTGTGTGTGTGTGTGTGTGTGTGTGTGTGTGTGTGTGTGTGTAAAAGTGCCCATGAGATATTATGTGGGAGAGAACGAGTCACCATGCCACATGCATACACAATCATGGTTCTAATGCCTGAGATCAGAAACTTCTGTCTGAATAGCCACATTGCACTGGTTAAGAGCTAGGACCAGAAGAAAACGTCTCTGGGCACACTCAGTATGGAGATGCAAACAGGTTTTCAGCCACTGTTTGGCTGAATCTGCAGTTGAGGAATCCACAGATGCAGAGGGCCAGCTGTGTGTACAGCCATTTCTGGCCATTTTTATTTCTTCCTTTTAATTTAGCCTTTCTGTATTTGTTTCTTTTTAATTATGTGTTTGTGTGTGTATCTGTCTGTGAGTAGGTTTGTGTCCATGGATGCAATGCCTGCAGCTGGCCAGAAGAGGGAGTCAGAGTTCCTTGGAGCTGAAGTTACAGGCAGTTGAGCCACTCCCTGTGGGCCCTGGATACTGAAACCTCAGCCAGAGGAGTATGCACTCTGAACTGTTGGGCCATGTCTCAGTCTCACCTATTTATATTTCAGACATGTAAGGGGAGGGATACATAATGCTGTGAAACAGTAAAGTTGTTTCCATGTTGACTTTTTCAAGAAGAGAATGAGTGGAGGTCACATCTGGAGACACAGAAACACTCTTAGACTCTCCTCCATCCAGGTATGCTGGGCGTGGCCAGGGAGACCTCCAACAGCTCAGGGACAGCTGTGGCACTGTCTCTCAGCACTCTTTGTGAGGGGGCATCTCCTCTAATGAGGGACCTTTGGGGCTACACCCAGTCGGCAACACCCACAGGCCATGACTGCAGTCTATTCTTAGTCCTTCACTTTCCTAGGACCTAAGTCCTGTTCTGAATTCACGCTTCTGCTCTGCATCACTTGGCTCTTCAGAGCCATCCTATGCGTGCCCCCAGGATGCCCATGTCTTACTTGTAATGTCAAATGCATCCAGTAGAAGCTGGGAGTGACAGGTGACACTTTCTCCAGATCCCAGGGGCCCTCTCCCATACTGGCTGCTGACTTTGACAGAGGCAAGGGTGGACTCCCTTGCCATGCACCTGCTGGCTTCACCAGATACCAAATTCCTTCCCCTGTGCAGCTGCTTACAGCGGAGAGGCAGTTCTTCTCACCACTCGGGTCAGAAGATCAGGATGGAGATACACAGGGCAACACAGTCCAAAAGAACAATTAGTTAGACAGTCTCCTCTACCCAAGATCCCCCTCTGCATAGTCAACAGAGTGGAGGCAGTGGTGGTACCTGTGGGAAGGCAGTGTGTGGGGGGGTCCCTGCTATGGCTCTAAGGTTCTCTCGGTGATGTCAGAGGGGATCTCACGGAACTGGCGGGCACCGCAGCTGGGGGATGGAGGAAGACCATTGCTGTTATTCCGGCTGGCCAGATGGGAAAGGGAGGCCAAAGGGACTTGCTCAGCTCAGCTGAAAAGGACTGAGGGGGACATGGGTATTGGAGGCAGGCCCATCAAAAGCGCTTCCTTTCCCACATAGGGAACATCTTAATCAAGTTGTTTGTTTTGGAGTCTTGGTTTCCCGGCCTGTGAAATGACCTACTAGCCTTTGAGCACATCCCTGTGAAGACTAGCGAGAATGTAGGCCAATAACCAAGCGCCGTGCACAGGAGAGTAAAAATACAACTGCTAACCGCACCCATTCTTTTCTTAGTAATTGCGCTGTCTGGCTCCAGATTCCGTGGGGAGGTAGAGGTGGGAGTGGATGGAGAAGCTTAATTCAAGGTCTGAAGGGCGTCCTCTTCCTCTAGACAGAAGCCAGGAGGCATGCATGAAAATCCAGAGGAAGCATCCTCACTCTTCCCTGATCAGGTGGGTCCCACCTGACCAACCAGGTTCTGCACCCGCTTTCCACAGGAGCTGTGGCAACAGGCCTGTCTATTTGGTCTCTGGCTCAAGCCTCAGCAGCTGGAGGACACACAAAACGAGACATCCTACTGTGTGCCAGGCACGATATCTGCCGTTTGTGGAGGACAGTCCAGAGACACTGGCCAAGCACAAGTATGAAGCAGGGCCTGGAGTCTGGATGGTTGGCCCTGGACTGTCACTGTCCCTCTCTCTTGTGGCTATTGTCTCTCCCGCTTCGCTGCTTCCGATTTTAAAAGTGGATGCTTTCCAACAGAATCCTTTGACAACCCTGCCGTGGACGACAGCATGCTTCCCGTTTTGTGTGTGGATCTGAATGCATGAGAGAAAAAAAAAAAAAAGCAACAAAATGTCCTTGAGTTGCCGCCATCGGGAGAGTGGCTGGTGGCTGCCTTTTCCCCTCAACCCCAGGGTGGGTGTGCCATTGTGAGCAAGCTGTAGACCCCCCAAGCAACCAGAACATTCTGTACCTTGTGGCAATTAGTCCCCACTTGGCTTAAGGACTCCAACATCAAAGGAGGTCTCCGCCTGCTGCCCAGGGGAGGCCCAGGGAATGCTTCAGAGTGGAGCCCTTTCCCCTCATTAGGGGGCTCCAGCCACCAGCAAAGCAAGCTCTGGACAACAGGCCGGGCCCCATCAAAGGCCTCCTTCTTCTGCATGGCCTCTGTAATCCAGGGCTTGAGTGCGCCCCGCCCCCTTGCCTGGACCAGCTCAAAGCAACCGTGTGGGGACACCTGCCTGCTCTCCAGGGCAAAGCCAAGTGAATTCATTCACAAGACAAAACACTATTTTCCTGTCTCAAAACTCCTAGGGCCCCGCTTTGAGCTGCCTGCAGTCAAGGCCTCCAGGGCTTACAATCGCTGCCCACTAAGGACGGGCCTGAAGTCAGGCCCCTCCTCCGCAGTCTCCCCAGCCTTTGAAAGCCCCGAACACAAACAGGAGCTAACTTAAGCCACTTTGCAATGCCTCTTTAGCCCTGATCTGCTCTTTGGTGAGGTAGGTGGCCAACCTGGAGCCAGCAATCCTGAGAGCAGGGGGGACCAGAGGGGACAGTGCAGAGCCGCCTCTGCCACCAGAAGTTTTCTCTTCCACACCAGAGTGACAGGGAGGTGGGGAAGGGACTCTGTGCACTTGCCTCGGCGCCCAGAGTTCTCAAGCAGAGCCGTGGGATTTAGTCATGCCGCCGCCACCACCGCCCGCAGAGCTACCCACCTGTGTACCTGTCTGCCGAATCCTTGGTCTATCTGTCTGCGCATGCATCCATTCATCCATCCATCTGTCTGTCTGTTTATCCGTGTGTCTGCCCATCCCTCCATCCATTCTCTGACATATCAGATTCAGTTCCATGCTCTGGGATTTTTAAAAAAATAATTAGACACAAGTCCTCCCCTCATGAAGAAGGGGAAGAGATGGCATTCCTGACAATACATATATACCATGGAGGCCTGGGGTAGCCTGGAATGCGTGAGAAATATTGTTTCAGTCTTGAAGTTGGTGTGTGGCCACAGGGTAACGAACAGGAAGGCTGGGGGAGGTGGGGAGGTGGAGGTTGGGGTAGGGTAAGGGTTGAGGGCAGAGCTAGAGAATGGGGCCCTTCATTCCATGAATCCTGTTTCTTGATGACCTCTTTTATCTGCCTAACACACACACACACACACACACACACACACACACACACACACACACACACACACACATACATACACATACGGCAGCGGGATTCCACTCAGGCCAGCAGCAACTATATGCCCAAATATACAGACTGAACACCTTTACATACATACATGCTTATGCAAATGTAAACATGCATATGCAAGCACTTGCACACAAATAGGCTCCCATCACATAAAAAACGCCTGCCCCTACTTAAAAATGCTTGCATACATACATAAGCATGCTAGTGTGTACCAAAGTGTCCTAGCATACATATACAATAGGCAAGCACATAAGGCCTACATGTGACATCTATGTATACACACACACACACACACACACACACACACACAGCTGCACTAGGAAAATCCGGGAATTAGACGCCTGCCTCTCATTATTCCTTGGTCATAAAAATGTGCCCCAGGCAATGAAACCTGGCAGAGCTGGGCCCATCAGCTGTGCTTTGGGCTGGAACCGGGTGTCCCTGGGCTCTCCTGGGCTCTGCCAAGATGGTGGGTTCCCTGCCTGATGTCAGCCTCCTTTCCCTGCTCCCACTGCGGTGAGTGCTGTCTTCGCCTCCAGCCACTGCGTTGCTTGGGTGGCAGGACAAGCCTGGATATGTCTGACATCCACCCATAGGGCAGGGTGGCCAGAGCCAGCCCTATGATGTTGTCACTTGGACAGATGCCCAGACAGCCCCGGGGAAGACACCATCATCCTAGGTACAAGGCCAAGGATTGCAACCTCCTTCCGTTCCTCATGCAGGCTTCCCCAAGTCACACTCTCTACAGTCACCCTGGGTCCCACTATGGCTCTTGATGTGGGGCCATCCAGGTGAGAGCAGAACTTGAATGTTTACGGACTGAGACGAGATCCTCCCAGACCAGTGGGAGACAAGATGGGATGGGTGATGTTAGCTAAGTTCACATCAACTGAAGGCCAAGGTGCTGCCCACTAAGCCACAGCTAGCCCCTCTCCTTTTCTAAATCAGGACATCCACCCACTTGTTCATTTCTGGAATTTTCCCTGTACTGTTTATGGACTGTGGTTGGTGTAATAGAGACCTTGGAAATCAAACCATGTACAAGAAGGGACCTTTGCTCCCCAAGTTCCTCATGCTTGGGTGATGTGCCCCTGAGGTGGTGTTCTCCTGTGGTTCCTGGAGTCCCCGGAAAGGCCAAGCTCTGTTGTCAATGGTATCACTAATTTGAGACATGCCCTTCAGAACCCCATTCCTGCCCTGTCTCACAACCCCGCTTAGATGTTTTACTCCCCAGTTCCTTGCCTTTGGGTTTCTTTCCTGAGGTTAGCTTCTGGGGAATACACCTGAAGACGACACCTTTGTGACTTGCAGTGTGAAATTCTGCTTTGGACAGCATTCAGCAAGCATTACTTACTGCCTCTGTGACCCACAGGTATTTCCAGTATGTGCACCGAATGCCGATCTGCTCTTGCTCTCAGGCACCACTGGTCTCTGCCCTCAGGGGGCCAGTCAGTGTTGTCACCAGCCAGCTCTGATGGAGACCTGCAGAGTCCTAACAGCGCTCCCGTCCTTGTGCCTCTACGTCTGATCCACCTCTTGAGTTTTTAATCATTGCAATCACCAGCCCTGTTTTCTCTCTCCATTTCCATGCCTGCCATTTTCACTGTTCACCCCTGGACAGCAGAAAGTTTCCTAGGCTACTGCCACCTACTTCTCCCCCTCGTCCAATAATGCACAATAATAATGATACTAATTGATGCTGAAGATGATGATGATGATGATGATGATGATGATGATGATGATGATGCACACCATGGGACCAGATTCTAGAAACTAGAAACACATGTCTGTTCACAAACTCTGAGCTCTCCACAGTCTTCCACTGCTCTCAGGGCAAGGATCAACCTTCCCAACATGTGACCTGGGTGCTGTCCACCCCTACACCTCACCTCTAAGTGGGTTACCTACTGTGGTGGCTAGTCTTATGTCAACTTGACACAAGCTAGAGTCATTTAAAAAGATGGAGTCTCAATTGAGAAAAAAATGCCTCCATAATGCTTTAGGGCATTTTCTTAATTAGTGATTGAAGGGGGAGGGCCCAGCCCGTAGTGGGTGGTGCCATCCTTGTGCTGGTGGTCTTGGGTTCAATAAGAGAGCAAGCTGAACAAGACATAGGAAGTGAACCTGTAAATAGCACCCCTCCATGGCCCCTGCATCAGTCCCTGCCTCCAGATTCCTGCCCTGTCTGAGTTCTGTCTTGACTTCCTTCAACGATGAACAGTCATTTGGAAGTGTAAGCCAAATAAACACTTTCCTCCCTAAGTTGCATTTTGGTCATGGTATTTGGTCCCAGTAATAGAAACTCTAAGACACCTATACTGTGGCTCCTTGGGTTCTCAAAACACAACTTGCCCTCCAGAACCCACCTGGACTCCTACCATCCTTTAATATCCTCATTAGCCTTCCCTCTGCCATCTGATCTCAGATACGATGCCTCTCCTCCAGGAATACCTCCTAGGTCAATGCCTACTAAGACCCAGGTACAACTGCAGCTCATTCTTCTATTCTGTGGATATTTATTGAGTGTGTCCCTGTGCAGATATTGATGGTTGAAGTGAGCAAGTCAGTCCAGGTCCCTGCCCTTCTCTAGACCTTCTAAGTGCCCCTGTCTGTGTGGGATGGGCACAGATCAGAAGGTTACAGGATGGGAGAAGGAGCTCTGGGCTGGCATCTGCATGGGGAGAAGAAGGGAAATGCTGGGGCCAGTGGGGGTAGTGGTGATGATTGCTAGCTGTGGTGGTAGAAATAAAATTGGGGTTTGGATATGATGGCAATGATGGTTTTGGTGAGCAGGAAATTCCTGTAATACTCATGACTGTGAATATGTTATATCAAATGGTAAAGGCAATTTAAGGTTACTGGTCTGATAGGAGATTACCCTGCCGACTCTGTAATCATAGGGTCATCCTAGTGGAAGAGGAAGGCAGAAGATCTGGAGAGTGGCCCAGTCTAAGAAAGGCTCGTTGCTTACAGATGGAAGGAGGCAAGTGAACAGCTTCCAGAACCTTCTTCAGAAAAGGAAATCATTCTCCTCCAGATCCACCAGAAGGAATATAGTCCTGCTGGTGCTTCGGTTGTAGCTCAGAGAGACCAGTTTTGGATTTCTTGGCTCCAGAACTGAAAGGTAACACATTTTTATTATTTTAAACCACCAATTTTATGACTATTTGTTATAGCAACAAGAGGAAACTAATACAGTGGTAGATGATAGTGAGGGCAATGCTGGTCATGGTGGAAAATGTGGTCGCAGTGGCAGAAGAGCATGGGTGATGGTGACAACCAAAGAATTCAAAGCTGTAGTGGCAGAGGAGGTGATCATGATAACCATGACGGCAAGAGTATAGGGGTGGTGGTACTGATGCTGGCTGTTGTAGTTAGGGGTTCTATTGCTGAGACCAAACATAATGACCGAAAAGCAATTTGGGGAGGAAAGAATTTATTGGCTTACACTTCCATGTTGCCATTCATCACTGAAGGAAGTCAGGACAAGTATCCAACCAGGGCAGGATCCTGGAGGCAGGAGCTGCTGCAGAGGCCATGGAGGGGGCTGCTTACTGACTTGCTCCACATGGCTTGCTCAGCCTGCTTTCTTATAGAACCCAGGACCACCATCCCAGGAATAGCACCACCCACAGTGGGCTTGGCCCTCCTCCATCAATCACTAATTAAGAAAATGCCCTACAGCTGGATCTTACAGAGGTGTTTTCTCTATTGAGGTTTCCTCCTTCATATAACTCTAGTTTGTGTGTCAAATTGACATAAGACTAGCCAGCACAGTGTCAAAGATTGTGGTGGTAGTGGTGGTGGGAATGATGGGAGGATAATGGTGGTGGTGGTGTTGATGGTGGTGGTGATAGTGGTGGTGTTGATGGTGGTGGAGGTGATGGTGGTGGTGGTGATGGTGATAGTGTTGTTGTTGGTGGTGGTGATGGTGGTGGTAGTGATGGTGGTGGTGGTGATGGTGGTGGTGGTGGTGATGGTGATGGTGGTGGTGGTGGTAGTAACATAGGTATTGATGGAAGTGGGAGTTGGTAGTAGTGATACTGGTGCTGGTGGAGGTAGCTTAGGTGGTGATGATGGCAATGCTGTCAGTACTGATGGCAGTAGTGGCCATGGTGATGGTAGTGGTGATTTTGATGGTGGTATTGACACAGGTGGTGATGAAGGTGATGTATAGGTAGTGGTGGTTGTGGTTAAGGGGGAGGTAGATGATAGTGGTGATCTCAATAGTGGTGGTGTTGCGGCAATGGTGGTGGTAATGGTGGTATTAATAGAGGTGGCAATGGAGGCAGAGGTGGTGGTTTAGGTGATGGTAATGGCAGCGTCCATCGCAGTGGTGATGTGACGGTAGTGGTGGTGAGGACGGTGGTGGATTGGTGGTGCTAGCAGCTTAGGTGCTGATGCAGTCGACGCGGCGACAGGGGTGAGGCACTTTGGAGGAACTCAGTCACTTCCTGGGGTCTCCCCGTAGATCTGGGCAGCCTTTTACTTCCCATCTTCCTCTGCCCTTCCTTTTGGAATCAGGTATCCTGAGCAGGAGTGGAAGGGCAAGGCTGGCACAGGGAGGAGCTGGTACGGAAAATGGCCTGAGTCTAGAGGGGCTGGAGGGGCGAGGGAGGGAGGGAGAAGCAGAGGCCAAGCCAACGGGGCTGCCGGGGAAGGGGCCGTTTCCCACTGTAACCCTTCCCCTCCCTAACTGCCCTTCTGTGGACAGCCAAAACTCTTCTGAGGGGTGTCTATGGGGAGAAGACGGGCAAACACTGTCTTCTGTGTCTTTCACTGCCCTCAATGGCACAGGCACCAAGGCCTAAGGAGCTCAGGGGGCCTTGAACTGTGGTCCAGCAGGTACCCCTAGCAAGGTGGATAAATGACACTCCCAGAATCATCTAGGGAAATTTGGAACAAAACTGGATTTCTTGGGTACCCATCCTGGTTATCATCACCCTACAAACTCTTTGACCCCTGAGTCACTGGGAGACAGAGAGGAGAACTCAGAGATACAGTTAGCCAGGTACCAGGAGAAGGCAAAAGCCAGCCAGCCTCTGAGGCCCTGTGTGCTCAACCACCTTCCCCAGGCATCCGAAGCTTCCCAGGCCTGCCAATCACCCTGGGTATTCCCCAGCCCGCTTACCTGCTCAGGGATCCCGGAGTGGGAAGGGCAGCCATGCCTGGGATAGACTTTGGGTCTCCAAGGGTGTGATCTTGGCAGGCCCCAGACACGTGCAGGGTTCCCCACCCCACCCCAGAGGGGTATCAGCCACCATCACACACGGGGCAGAGTGGCGCCAGTCCCAGTCTGGCCATCGAGAAAGACCTGCTGGCACCTGTGGACAGCAGCTCGTCACCCTGCCTCTCCCTGCATGGACCTCATTAACACCCTCCCTGGGGCTGGGGCTGGGGTTGAGGGGAGAGAGAGAAACAGGCAGGCAGTGGGAAGAGACGCAGCTTGGCTCTTGCCTGTATGTGACTGCGGCATCTCCTGACTTTTTATCTGTAGCGCCCAGTCTGCAGTGCATACAAGACATAGTCCATAAGGGAGCCAAGCAGAGACCCCTCACATGCCAGGCACACAGTGGGGACTCAGGGACAACTTATCTCCAGAGCTGATGTCAAGGCTCCCGCCTCCCCAGGCACAGCACTGAAGGAAAACCATGCAGACTTCTCCATGCCTAATTCCCATCCTCAGTACCCACCCCACCCCGCAGAGACCCTGGGAGGAGCGGAAGTTTGGTGAGCTATGGGACCAAACCCAGGCCCCAGACTGCCCCAGCTTGCTGAGACCTGGATTCTGGGCATGTTCAAGCAGATGCTTGGACCCAGCTACTGTGGTCACCTTGGTCTGCTGGTCACAGACCATGCTCCCTGAGAGGGGCTCCTTGGCATGGCAGGGTGTTAATCCTGTCTACCTTGAGAGGAGGTATGATATTGAGAGAATGTGTGTTTCCCTGAGAGGGCCTCTCACCCACCTCCCTGGGGTCTGGCTCTGGAGACCCCTGAACTGCTACAGGAAAGCCCCAGGAAGAGTGAGGAGCGGGGAACAGGATGGTGTGGGGAGCTGCAGAACAACGGCAGGCCAGCCTGTGGAGTGTCCTGAGAGGCCAGCCGACGCTTCTTGTCATCACATTTTCCAGTCACCTGCCTGGGAACCTGAGGAACAGATTAAGGAGCCAAACACATATTATTTCTTTTGTTTGAGGTGCCAAGTTTGATGAGATGAATTGGCCGTCTGTTCTCCAGCTACGGGCAAGCCAGAAACCTGGGCCTCCCGAGCTGCCTCTTTTGTCAGCGGCTAACAAATGTCGAGGTGTGGGAGTGGATGGGACTCCCCTTCCTCTGCAGAGCCCAGCTGGCTGACCGTCCACCAGCCAGGGTCTCTGCTCTAGGCCCAAGAGTGAGCTGGAAAGGGACCTGAGACCAGGGCCGATCCTGTGAATGCTCCCCAGCCTTGGTTTCCCCCGTGGTTAAACAGGCAGGAGCCAGTGTATCCTCAGAAGTGATGGCGTCATCTGATATCTAGGCGAGGGAAGGCTCTCTCTGTGGGCATTCCCTGGGACAAGGCCATCAAAGTTCCTTACCCCTTTTACCAGAGTCCAGTGAACTGGCCAAGGCCCTTGCAAGTATCCTTGAGTAGGGCTTGGGCAGGATTCCCAGCCTGAGGGAATTCTCTGCTTTCCTGGTAGAGATTTGAGTTCAAATCTCTCTTC